TACAGCCGAGCAAGCCACAAGGGCCAGTCATCACCGACGTCAGCAGCAGAGCCCGCCGCTCAGGAAGAACACCACAACAACCACAGGACCAAACGCAGCCCCAGGGTGCTCCCAACGCGGAGCCCCCAAGACCTCACCCTCCACAACCAGACACAGCAGGCAGCGACCCAGTGGCCGAGGCTGGCCACGACAACCAGCAGGAAATCCAGGGCTCCGCCGACACCTCGCAGCCAGCCACAGCGAGCCCACAGCCTCAGCAACCTAGCATGGAGACCCGAGCGACCCCAGGAACAACCAACCAGCAGCAGCCTGCAGCCCCCCACACACCGCAGCAGGGAACCACCCCGGGGGGAGGCGCCAACGCGGGGACACAGCCCAGGCCGGGACCCATCCACCCGACACCCAACCACAGCAGATTTCAACGGGCACGGCCCCGCACGACTACAGATCGAGCAGCCACGTCCAGCACACCCAGCTCGGCAGGGGACCCAGCACGCGACAGCACAGGAGGGCCAGAGCAGGCAAGTCCAGGCCGCACGGACAAGCAAAGCAGATGGCCAGAAGGAAGAGGAGAACAGAGAACAAGAAATAAAGAACACAAATCGGCCGTGCAGGCCGCTTTCCAGCAGCGCGGCTGGACTAAACCAGAGCACCTCACATGGAAGGAGGCAGAAAAGTGGCTCTACCCGCCTGGCCAGCGCAGCCGGCCACAAGCCCCACAGGAGGACACCAACTGGGCTGACCTCCTCAACCGCCACCTTCTTCCCATAAGCACCCCGGGGCAACCCCAACAAGCCGCCGACAGCACCCAGAGCACCGGGGACGCACCCCCAGGCAACACACAACCGCCACAAGCCACTACCCAGCAAGCTGCATCTAGCTCCGGGGGACCCACCCAGCCCCCCCCTCCACAAGCACCGGAGGCCCAGGAGCCAACTCCTTCCGCCACCGCAACCACAGCTGCAGCAGCGCCACCAGAACCCTACGATTACCAGATGCCACCGCACCCAGCAGAAGACCCCACTAGCAAAAGGGGCACAGCAGCCAGAGCCACGGCGGAGGCCCGCGGAACGGTGGAACCGGCCATCGCCACTGCCACAGCCACACCCGCAGCATCGGGAACCAACTACCAGCGGGGCCGCCCAGCGCAGCAGAACTCCACCCCCACCACAAGCCAGCAGGATCGGTGGACACCTCGACAGTACAGACAGAGGCTGCACCTCCGCCCACACAAGGCCCTCGTAACGTGGCTGGAATCGGGGACACCACCAACCCTCCCCCCGACGTTTCCCCTGAGGCGCAATAATAACCTGCTCTGCCTCTATCGGGGGAACGGGCGCTGGGATATGCGTGTTATCCTGGCAGCCCGCGGAGGGCGGCCGTTCGTGGCCCAGGGGACATACCCGCAAGTCCTCCTCGACCCAACCAATACCGCAGGACAAACCCTATTCCTGCCGGAGGGAGTGTCCCTCCTAGCAACCCCGCTCGGGGACTTCGCCAGCTGCGACCGCCAAAAGTGGGACCTGACAACCTCCCTGCTGCCGAGAGCCTGGCTCATTGAAGTGGACGAGGGTCCGTCCAGGGCACCAGGCGTCGAGCAACCCCTCCCGGACAACATCGACATTCGAAGAGGGGACAGCTTCCTTATCGTCTGGGAAGATGACGATTGGACCCTGGTCGAAAGAACACCAGGAGACCTGTCCTTCCGGGGCATTTTGCAGATCCCCTCCCCCATGGAGGTTCCCCCGAGTTTACACCGAAACCCGCGGGGATCCCTGAACGTCCCCGGGCAGGCCAAAGCCAGACCTCCACTGGCCCCCCAAAGCCAGGGTTACAGCGGCACCGACAGCGGGGACCAAACAGAACGCAATTGGCCCAGCAGCGACGGCAGCGAAAGTGGAGGACCACCGGAGGAGGAAGACAAAACTGAGCTGATGCAGACTACCCACCAACAAAGCGCTAACGCCAAGGAACCCAGCAGGCCGAAGTCGGGGGCACCACCGACACCACCAGCGCCCCACGAGCAACCACAACCACAACCACAGCAGTTCCCCGCAACACTAAGCAGCACACGGGGACCCACAACCCGACTTGAGCACGGAGCCCCACACCAGACTCCCCACCAACAGCCACCGGCGACCGCAGCCTTTACCTGGACCGTAACCCCTGAAGACACTTGCAGGGCACCGCTGACCCATGGCCCCAGCAGGGGACACACCACAACCACCACCTCCACCACAGACAACCACCACCTCGCAACCGGAGACGCAGCACTCAACCGAGGGGAGACCCTGCAGAATAACCAGGGACAGACGAGGGAAGGGCACCAGCAGGGGCAGGACAGACACCAGGAGCAACCACAACCACAACCGCAGCAGTTCCACAATATCCGGCAGCTCCGTGACCTGCTCCTCGGTCCCGTGTCCAGTCACACCACGGGTACCCCAAGCATTCCCACTCCAAGCGCACCTGGAGGACAGGCAAACCCTTCCAGCATCCAAGCAGGATCGCTCCCCAGAGGCTCGGCCTGGCTGCTACCGGGAGAAGACACACAGGAGGCAATGATCCACGCCATCCTGGAGATCGAAGCCCAACAAGCACATGACGACCACCAAGCAACCCACCACACCCTGCCGGCAGCCACTCAAGCAGACAGTGCGGGGACCACGCAACCGGCTCAGGAATACCAACTCCCCCACCACGGGGAAGGAGGCACCCACAGCCACACTGCAGCAGCCAGCACTGCATTCCACAGCCGAGCGGCAAGCACTGCAGGGGAACCCCCCCTTTATACCACCACAGCCACCGGGCAACGACGTGATTCACCACCACGAGTCGGGGCTGCTATCCAACTCGCTGCCACCGGAGAGCCCGCGGCAAAGCGTCGAAGACTCGTCGAGGTTGCCGACACGAGGCCCCCACCTGCAGGCACCGGAGAAAACCCTGAAGCAACACCGTACATGATCCTACGAGCACAACAACTCCTGCAGCAGCTCATGCCCACACTCGTGGGAGACCAAGTACCGGTAGCAATGGAAGCGCTACGCCTACTCCAACGGTGGACAACCGCCTTATGGAACGAGCCGATCCGTCTGGTCGGGGATGACTTGGCTGAGACCGTGCAATGGGACCCACCACCTGCAGTACCGGGGCCCGAACCTGACGAGCTCTGGCGACCTGCGGGAGCACAAGACCAAGACGGGGACGCCCGAAGAAGAGCCACCACAGAAGCCAGGCTGGCGGCCTTCCCGGGGTGGGACCCCCGAGATATCCCCTCCACGGAGACGGAAGATGAAGCTTGGGGTCTTCCCAGAAGAAGACGCTCTACGACAACGGGGAGACCGTGGACTACCCCAACAAGTCGACCCGGGCAAAGCTTCGAACAGCGAGCACACCTGAACGGGGACAGTGAGCTCGACAACCGAGCCACGCACCGCAGACGGCGCATGCATGCCGTGTTTGACCCCAACTAAACAAGGGGACTCTCCTCTGTGCGTAATGCTGCGTTTTTTCTAAGGTGTCTTAGAGTGCCGTAGCAAGGTGTTTTTTGACATGCACAGGGGACCCACCTCTTCAATAGCAAACAAGACACAACCACCAGCATCCACCGACGGGGCATCCGGTACAGTGTGTGATGTTCCCCCGTATGCTTTGGAACCTCGCCCCCCCCTTGCTTTCCCACCCTAGTGTACCGGAGCCCCTCCACAGCAACACCACCACCACCAGTGCGGGGACCCAAGGTGTGACGTTCCCCTAGTGTGTTCTTTACCTCGGCCCGTTTGTTTCCTCCCGGGACCCGCACTGGCACAAGCAACGTAGCCCCACCAAACCAGCACCTAGGTCAAAGTAGAAGCTGCACGGGAAGCTGCACGGGGAGCCGCCCTTGTGGATAATAGAATACCGTGATGCGATTGTGTGTCTACTCTGGTACGTATGGTACGGGGGCCCCCGCTGTGCTGAATGGAGCCCAGCTGCAGAACCGTGAATAACACGGACAATAGCACAGAGACCGACAAGCTGTACGAGGCGCAAGTAGCAAGGGCTCGAGTAAGGGGTTGCGAGTTGTAGCGCCAAGCAGCTTGGAGGTCACACACAGTCTCACACCGAACACAGACTTCTGGCGTTGCGCTCGCGCGCGGGGGTTTTGGGGGCTTTCCCCCTTACCCCACACGCCCTGCAAGCAAGCAAGCAAGAGAGAAAGAGCCCAGTGAAGTTGCCTGGACAATACGTCTGGGATGAGCCGAGGGTGTGCACGCAAAAACTCTTGCCACCCGCAACTGTCGGGGGTGCACTAGCGCGCGGCGTCGGGGAACTTCCCCTTCGCCATAGCCCTGGCGAAAGAAAGAGAGAGAGAGAGAGAGAGAGAGAGAGAGCAAGAAAGAGCGAGCGAAACAGTGCTCGCCAGATTTGTGTTGATGCGTGGGGGCTCTACCGTGTTGCTACTTGCTGCGAGCCCTCGTCGATGATATGGTTGCCTAGGGGCGCGGAGATGAGACCGGGTTGTGTGTTGTTTAGTGTATGGGGTTGGGGGCTTGCTTCTAAAAACACGGGGCCTACCACTCTGTTTTTGCCTTTTCATTGGGACCCCAATGCCAGCCACTTCGTAATACAATGGATGGTTCAGCGGGCCGATGGCCTACGTCGACCCCCTAAGCCCAGCAGAAAGAGGGAAAGGCGGAAAGAAAGAAAGAGAGAAACAACAAGTGTTCGGGATACTTGAGTGGTTTCGCGTGTTCAGGACACAGAATTTTGCGTCCTTTCATTGCCACGCACTGGCAGTTTCACGAAGCAGGCTAATGCAGCCAACCAGCTAGGAACCTGGCGACGTAGCGGCTCACTCCTTCGCCCTGCAGAGTTAGGAAACACATTGCCATGTCTAAGCGAGGTGGCCTAAACCGAGCCTTGAGCCCAACACCGAGTCAGCACTTCTGGAGCCCACACTGTCTCATGACTCGTAGAAACCCGGGGTGTCTTCGCCTCGAGAGTGAATGCCGGCGCAGTTGACGATCGCTGCGGTGGTCCTCTACGTGGCTGGCGTCATGCCCAGCCAACCCAAGGAGGCCTCGGCACTGGAAACTGCGAAGACCTCTCGGCGAGAGAGACAACACCTGCGTTACCATGCATCAACGCTGACCGTCTGAGAGCACCCGCATATAAGGCGAAGGCAGAAGGTGACAATCATGAGCGCATGTGTTCCAGAAGCAAGGGAAATGCGACAGCTAGGGTTTGGGCAAAACAGACGACCGACAAATCTGATGTAGACTTTGCCAGAACATTCTGGTGAGTGTTGACAAATGAATAAACCATCTCGAGGTTCAAAGCACTCCTGACTCAATGGCGGGATAAGAAGTCCATGTTGTTTTACACCGCAGCAGACAAGCTCCGAAGCGTGGCACTCCCCATGTTTCGTTTCAGGTGGAGCCGGCGGTGATCCCGAAACCGGCTGTCAAACACAAGGTCGCCATGTAGCTGCCTTGGTCGATTGGGGGTCTCCTGCTCCATAAAAACTGATGTCCTTCAGCCCGAAGCGCAGCCTTGAGCAAGAAAACCTCACCGTCAGCGCGGGAGCAGCTGCATTCGAGGCCGAGGCCCTGTCAGAAGTGGGGCTGAAAAATGTGTGAACGGGCTAGGTCAGGGGAACAGAGAAACTCTCTCCGACAAACCCTGACGGTTACAGAAGTGGAACTCCAGGCGAGGCCATCTCTGGCTTGTCCTGGTAACATACATACACGCACTCACATATACATATTGTATATATATATATATATATACATATATATATATATATGTATTCAACCCTGAGAGGCCGATCTGCTAGGGCTCGAATCGGCAGAGCCGAAGTCTGGGGGACTCACTGAAGCTGCCTTGCTGAGGTCAGCGGAGGAGCTGCCAAGCAAGTCCGACGAAGAGATCGAGCCTGAGGACGTCGTTGCAAACTGCACGAGCTGGTCGCAGTATTGATCTTGTGAGAGGAAGTAGGCTTCCCGGTCCAGGTCCGAGCTTCAAGGCTTCTGGAATTGAGGAAAAGCTCGCATGTTCGAGGGGTATCGGAGAGTCCCATGTATCATGTGCGGACGAGGGTCAGACTTGGCCCTATGCCCTATGCTTTGAACACCAAAGCATTGCAGCAAGCATCTCGGCTTGATGCTTTTGGCAGGAGAATTCACCGCTTTTCAATATGCTCCCAGAGACTAGGCCGCAATTCGCGAAGCCGTAAGTGGCCAAAACTTACGCGGCAGCACGTGGTTGGTGGTTGGGTCTTGATTGTTGCTGGCGATGGCTAATGTATGCATCATGTGGATGTGACCTCATCAGCTTTTAAACGGTAGGCTGTATGGCTTTCGGAAGCACATTTTTGACACTGGAATGGCAGTCTCACTGAGCGGCTAATCCATGGACAGACATCCGGAGAGCCGGAAGCCCACGCCCCGCATTCCTAGAGAGCCAAGGAGAAGGTACAGGATTGGTACTTCAAAGAGCAACTTGACCTTGAATTGTTGTGGGTGGCATCTTGAAGAAGCTTTCTGCAGCATCTCTCGCGTGGAGAACGAAGATCGCCCCAGCCCGGCCCCCGTGGATCTAGTCTCATGTCGAATGAGCACGTCAGGAAGAGCAATCTGCAGGAGCAACTTGGCTGAGAAGGTGTTCGGAGATCTTTGAGGCGTTCGAAGCAGAAGTTCCCCACAAATGCTACGCCGGATTTCGCACGTCATCCTGTTTTCGTTGGGGTCTCTCTACTTCGATACATCTAGGTGACCCGATTCGGCGAGCCTTGCGGGAAATGACCCGAGGCTAGTAACGAGTTTTGCTTTGGGGTTGTCCTCCGGCATCTGGATTCGCGGTCCAGCACCGAAAGGCTGCGGTGTTCGAACCGGTACCGCAGTTTGCCACCTGCAAATCTCTGGACCAGGCAGCTGGAGAAGAAGACCAAGGTCTCCTACTACGATAGCCCTCATCACTTGGTGCGAGGAAGCATGGGTCAATTTTTGCTGCTTGGCGGAGTTTACCTTTTCCTCAGTCCGTGCTGAAAAAAGTGAAGGTTGTGCATCCAAGAGGCAATTTTACTTATGCTTGGTTTATCTCTGGCCACACCTTGTAATCAGATCCTTTGCCGCACGAGCCTCTACAAAGCTTGTCGTGGAGGCTTGGCGACCAGTCCGATAGCACCAAGGGTATGTCACGCCCAGCTGCCGCCAGAAAGACGTGATAGTACAGCAACAATGGCCGAAGCCTGGTCTTGCCATCCAGGTAGCCCATGGAAGGGTAAATCTCCATCCTGGCTCCCCCAGACAGGCTCAACAAAGTACTATCACGCTTTTGAGGCTTGCTGCTTGAGGGGAATTGTCTCGACGAGAGCAGAAACAGGAGAGTTAAGTTCGCAAGTGTCCAGGCTTGGCAGGATTTGCTCTGGCCTAGTCTCCATCTCTTTCCGTCTGTTTTTAGCGTGGGTCGTGGCAGGTCCAACATCTGGAAGTTTCGGGTTCAACTTGCAGGGTGATCTGTGATCTTGGTTTTCCAGGAGCGTCGCTGAAACCAGTGCGGAGGCCTCGTTGCATGTGAAGCCTTCAGACTTCAGACCCGACCGCTGCACCCTTATCAAGTCGACTTCAACCTCTTCATAGAAGCCCCACCGCCGAGCCCAGGAAGGCCCAGCAGGAAGCTCGCGAGGGCTAGCGGCTAGGACAGGTGGGAGTTCTCGCTTTCGGCTGCCTCTGCCCTGGCCTACAGTAGCTGGTGGGTTAGAGAACGAGATCAAGGGGATGGGCTTGAGAAGGGACGAGACTAGAGAGAAAGGCAAACTCCACAAGCGACTTAGTGCCTGCAGAGGTTGAGCCTGATCGAGTTGTAGCCGTAGTCAGAAGTAACAGAAGCAAAGTCTTGCTTTATCACTTTCGCATGGGTTTTGCTGTTGCTCGTGACGTTGCAGTGATCGGATTGATATGTTTGCTGCCTGGCCAATTGAAGCAAGTCTGATTTCTGAGCAGCTTGCCCACGTGAAAGCTTTGCATAGATCTCGGCTGCAAGTGGAAGTAAGAAGCTGTCCAGTTGGAGATGCGGCACTGTACAGACTTGCTGGCTTCGTTGCTCCACGGTTTGCAGGTTTTGAGCAGTTGGGTTACTGGGGAACCCGGAATCCGACAGGGTAGAGGGTGTTGTGGCTACGAGATGCTTAGCATTTTCATCTCAGAGAAAGATTACTCGACCAAGCCAGCCTGGGCGGCAGCTGCTCCAGATTTCAATGAGTGGCTTCCCAAAAGATGTCGAGACAGACCTTTACCGAAACACAGTGCATGCACGGATGAGACGCCGTACAGTGGCCACACTTGACTGATGCAGCTTTTGGCACGCCGTCGTGGAGGAACTGAAATGAAAGCACGTGTCGAAGGCTGCTCAATTCACTTGCAGGAGATAGGGGGTTGCTCACAGTTCGGGTCTGCTATGGAGACGTGGTATGAAGAAGAGACATAGCATGGAAACATCGTTGCGTCCCGAACTTTGAGCAAAGCTTGTCTTGCGCCCTCGTTTTGTACTTCTCCCGTGTCATGAGCAAGCAGCCTCTGAAAGCACAGGGGGTAGTGGATACCTCGGGCACCAGCTGTAATTAGCATCGATTTGGTTGTGGATGGTGTGTAAATCCGTGAGAGTCTGGTCGGGAGTTCACTAAAATTGAGATTAAAGACTACGGCGTAATTGTCGGTTAGAGTTAGAGGTACGGCATGCCATGTCTACAATTCACCATTCTTCTCCAACCAAGCTGAGTCTTGAACAACGTCATCCAGTGTATGAGTCCAGGTGTGGTTCCATGCCGATCACAGCACGGTGCCATGTCGATTCAAAGCTTACTTGCCTCGAGGAAGGGTCTCCAAAGAAACCAGGGAGCTGCAAATGGGGTTTCATCGACCTGATTACACATGCGGACAGAGCTGGTAAAGTGTTTTCGAATCTAAGATCCGAAGGGCGGGCGGGTACCGGGGCATGCAACACTGGTTCCATGTAGGACCCCTCTGCGAGTGTGGACTTCGCCTAAACATGGCAGAAAAGTTCCATCGGGCACTGGCTCCAAAAAAGGACTCGTCCAGGAATGCTTGTGGGCTTTGGGTTTGTTCTGCTCCCGCAAATCAGCATTCGAAAGCCTTGCAGAGGCAACGATGCTTGAAACCTGGCAGCGTGCAACCAGAAGTAACGCCGACGAAGCTGTGCTTTGGGAGCAGGGCTGCGCTTTTCATTCAGGCATCACCAGAATTGGAGCATTCTGGCAGAGCCCTTCAGGATGGCCAAGTCCGGCCCGTGCACGTGCACCGGTTGCTGCTGGTACAAGAGTCTTCTTCGGGTTCGAGCGGAGTTCAAGGGTGTCGAAACACATCTGTTCGCTTCTGTATGTAACTTCTGCTCCTTTGGCTCGGCAAGAGTTAACAGAAGTGCGGGGCCGCGGGGCGTGCGCGGATCAAGGCACGTGGCACTTTCCAGCAATCCGAGGGAAGATGCCAACGACTCGAAGCCCGAAAGTCTCTTGGCCAGGCCCCAGCATGGCTCCGCCAAAGCTCCCGGCGATAGCCGGGCGTCAGGGCGGTCCATCGGCTGACCATGGCCTTGAGAAGTTCATCTTGGGCTTGGCTCAGGATAGTGTTGTGCGGTGGGCGTGTCATCCTGCTTCTGTTGGGTTCGAGATGCCACCATACTTGAAGCCAAGCGAATGAAAATCCCCAACAAACGCAGGCCCTAGGCCTGCACGCTCAGTTCTCCCAGCTTGTCTTTCATGTGTGTGGGCTTGCGGCAGGGTGGCGATTGGACTGTGTAGGACCGCAGGAATGTCGATCAACTGAGGTCTTGACAGATCAGCCTCTCAGCCCCGGATCGAGGCGAAGCATCGCCTCCAGGCAAGTCGCAGATGATTCCAGACCGGAAAGTTTGAAGAAACCCACTGCGCCGAGTAGGATCCCACAATTGGCAAACCCAAACAAGCTTGCCGTCCTCGTGCCGCAGTCTCTCAGCCCATGTTCCTGTGGCAGGTGCCCGATTTTCGGCGCGGCGACATCTCGGACAGCTTGCAGGACGCGGCTGTTCCTGCCAACTCTTTCTAGGGCCCTGGCGTAGGGTGAAGGAAGTGAGCTGCAGGCTCTCTGTCTGTTTCCCTCCCCTTCTCCCTCCCTCACTCCCTCTCCATTATTTGACGGTGCGATAGCGGCGAGGCATTCGCCTTGGGGAGTTGGGTTGTTCTTTAGGCATCCAGTCGTCCTACGGACATCTCAGGAGATCGGCCAGCTGTCAAGGACAATCATCGGTCCTGGCGGCGTCAGCAAAAGTGTGCGAGCATCTTGGGAAAATAGTTAGTTAATTACAGGTTTAAGATGATTTGCAGGAGGCAGAAAAGATGATGTGAGGATTCCGGCCTTGGTTTGGCCCATAATTTCCTGCTTTGGGCCAAAAGTGCCTGTGTAGGGCCTTCAATCTGACACCGTGCACGAAGGACGGCAATTTTTCTGCATAGCATCGTATGCGTAATCTGGAATCTAGGAGACAAGCGAGCAACCGATGTCTGGTGTCCTCCACAGATTGGGAATCCTCTGTTGAATGTACCGTAAGTATGTATACTGTATACAGTTTTGCGTTGGACCTATCAAGTGCTCCCAAGGCACTTACCAAGTCGGCCTCCACGCCGGAACTGCGGACAGGTTTGACACTGGAATGGGCCTATGATGTAGCATGGGTTCACCAGGTTGTGTTTTCGAATGACGGGCAGCAGTGCCCTTCAATCACCATGCTTCCGCAAGTTTTTGTTGTGGCCGAGGGGTGTGAGAGGAGCGAAGAGTGCCGATAAATGCCCGTTCCGGACTCACTCAACAAGGCACACTCGGTCAAAGCTTGCATTGTTCTGCGAGTGCTTGATAGCTTGGCCGGCAGCTAACGCACGGTAAATGTGTAAGTAAAACGAGCAGTCAAGCATGTATCTGTGTAAAATTCGGAACTGCCATTGCAAGTTCGCCGGCGAACGTGATCATCAACTGGAGAGTTGCAAGATTTGCACGGACAATCGCCAAGCGGTGGCGCTCGCACCTCTACCTGGTCCTTCTCCAACACCCCCCCGCCGTCCCCCCGCGTCTCTGCGGTGCGTTTGGGACGAGCGTCCGTCGAAGGGATGAGTGTGAGTTGGAATTTGGCCAGCGTAGTCTGCGTGCGAGTGCATGTCGTGCGGAAGCTTTCTTTCTTCCGTTCATTGAAAGACATGCAGCGGTTTGCACCAACAGCAACACCTTGAGCATCTGAAGCTGTATTCGGGTCGCATACCGCTGTAGTTTCGCAACGCATGGGTTGACCATCGGGGTGCGCGAGGCGACACCCAAGGCTGCCGCGAAAAGGAAGCCACCATCCAAGCAGTTCGACATATGTCAAGCGAGAGTGAGTGAGAAAGTCATGACTTTCAATCGCTTTGACGAGCCCGAATTCCTTTTTTGCAGGTCCGCTGAAGGCTTCAGATGCAGCGCGGCGGGCCCACGTGACTGCAAAGAAGATGCAGATGTTTGTTGGGTTGATTTCGAATTTCGAGGTTCAGGGCCGCCGTCAATCGAGTTTCAGAGCTTCGATGTCGGACTTTCGTGCATGGCATGGCCTTGTGGCATGGCATTGGGCTTTCAGACTTGTGCCTGCGGCCAAGCCTCACAGCTAAGCTCGTCTACGAGCCGCAAGAATGCGTGGCTCGAAAGACTGAAATCACCTAATCTCGAGGTTATGCTTTTCGGAGCTCCTTTGCAGCTCGAAGGGTCCGCGACGGTTGGGGGCCCAGTGCATCGGACAACTTGTAAATTCCATCCACTTGAGGGACCGATTGTGAGGATGCTGTGTGTAAGTTGGGCAAAGCCTTGTTTGATAAAGTCTTGTGCATCACACTCCCTGTAACCAAGTCTTGGGGGGCTTTACGAGAATTCGGTTAGTTGGTTTTCGAGCAGTGACATCTCCCCTTCCGGTAGCCGTGGTCCCTCCAGTGCAGACCGGATTTGCAAGTGCTTTCGGGTGTTACATCTTTCCAGTTCTGGTCGTCAGAATTTGTGTCAGCACCAGATCCGGCTATGCAGATTCCTTGCTGCAGGCCAGCGTTTCCGATTCCGCCCAGATGAGCTTTTCCGAGCTTGGTGGAGGCTGGCCTTGTCTAAGCGAAAGCTCAGGTCAATTGTGCAGCTGGAGGCTCCCCTTTACATCAGCCTTCACTGCCCTGCTCCCCAACTGGAATCGCTCAGTCTAAAATGACTAAACTAGAAGGTATCATCAGACTGCTGAGTGCTCGACGTCGTTTTCCACAAGTCCAGGTGCCTACCCGCCGAGCACAACATGTGCTCGCCCGCCACAAGAGCTGCCACCAGAGGTGCCAGCTATGCAGGAAGTACTTCGGCGACATGGATCGTGCAGCATTGCAGTTCAAGCCAGCAGGTTAGCTTATCAGGTTCTAAGCAAGACAAGCCCCAAGCAGCGTCTGCAGTTGCCCGGAACCTGCGAATCGAGCCGTTAGGTCAGCCGAGGCACCCGGCAAACATTTCATTTCTTTCTACTGTGCTGTAGATTGTCACGTCTTCAGGCTGAGACAGCCAGCTGGAGTTGCGCAAATCGCTGCTGTAAGTCGCCAACGTCGTGACTGTATGGAATCGAGCCAACACTGGTACCAGTACTATGCTTATCTGCCTGCACAAAAACTGTGCTCCTTTGGCCGAGTTCTGAATCCCTGCAAGCCCACCAGACAAGAAGTTCCGCGAAGCGGGGTTTATGATGAGATTGAACGATAGGCTGAAGCCCATAAGGACACCTTAGACTACATGAAGCCTGCGGAGGAAGCGCACCCTGGCGTGTTCGCTTTAGAGTTGGGTTTCGGGCTTGTGCGATGTGGTGAAAGAGTGCAGCTCTGGCTTCGTATGGTATTTCCGGCTGAGAGCTGGACAGACGTCTACTTCCGCTTCCGCTTTGTCGTAGTGCTTCCTATGGCCGTTTCCTTGCATTCAACCCTGAGCAGCTCCGCTCCGCGCTGGAGAAGTATGGCTCTCCACCAAGGCATTACAACTTCCGAAACCTCCCGTTGGAAATCTTCGACCACGCAGAGGACTTCGAAGTCAAGACTCCGCAGGAGTGGATGGCGGAGGCCCCTCTGTGAGATTGATGGATTGCAGCTCTGTCTTTTACATAGGCCCCGTCTCCTCACCGGCCCTCCCCAGGATCGTCCCAGCACAAGCGCTCGTATCCCGATCTTGTTCGGCCGAAGTCTTGCTTTCAGTCTGCACGGGCTCCAGAGGTTGCCCATCTCAGGCACATCCGAACGGGGACCTATCATCCACACATGCGACACCTCGCAGGTCCAAAAGGACGACCGCAGACCACAGGCATGCGTTGTGCACTACAAGGCACCTTGGTTTGCAAGGTGAGGGCGTGGTGTGTCATCTTGCTTGAATTCTTGACGTTGGCCTCGCTTCAGAAAGTAAGCGGCGCGTGAGGCGTGCAGGTTTTTTATGCTGTTCGGTCAGGGGCGGGCGGGTTGCCATCCAAGGCCAAGAAATGGATCATGGCTCCCTGCTGGGTCCTCCGCTATGAAGAGGCCATCAACAGCACCTTGGCGACAGGAATTTCTTGCGGAAAAGGTCAGCCCGTGCTCGGACTGAAGCTGCCAACCTCTCCGAGCACGGTGGCAAGTGGGGAGTCTGTGGGCCAGACGCCTCGGGTTGTTCCGGTCAGGGTTACGCAGATCATGCAACTCCGAGACAACACAGTGTATGAATGTACATGAGGGGCGGCACCGAGGCTGCACAGTCTTCGGTAGAGAATTTACCAGTACAGATGGATAAGGATAAGGAGGGCACACTTGGCCCACTTGGCATGACGGACGTGCAGAGCAGAGGCCGAGCACAGCGAAAACACCTATGTGAAACGAACGGACGCAACGCGTCGTGCAACCCAAGCCCGTGCAAATCTTATCAGCTGCTCGCTGCCATGGCCGAGGATATATAGTGGAAATGGAGGATGCTTCTCAAAAGAAGGTGAAGCGCAACTTGGATTGGAATCACGAACATAGCGTTCTGAAGTGCACTAGCCGTCACTAGACTGCTTGACTGCTGTGCTTGACCTGAGTTTACATGCAGCATCTCCTACATCCCCAGCTGGGGAGAATTCTGGTCCGAGTTGTGCAGCTGCGCTTCGGTGAAGGTTCCTGTTCGATGAATCAAAGAGAAATTAGCACAGAGCTACCTGGTTCTGAGTGTCGAGCGGTGGTCGGCAGTAGGTGCTGGATGTCTCGAGATAGCTCTTGCTTCATAAACCGGGGAGTGACTCTGGTCAGCCTTTCTCAAGGGGGTGTGGCCTCTTCAGTCGCACTTCAGCCAGTCTTTGAATCTTGTGCTGTGCCATGTGGCGAGAGTCGAGAGTCCGAACTTTATTCAAGTCCGCAGGCTCCATAGAGCTCTGAATCCATGGCAGTGCCCCAGGCCTCTCTCTCCGTTTCAATGCCGAAGATCCGGCCAACTTTGAGCGGCGAGTAGAGACATGCAGAGGGCGCAAGGTGGGCGCCGATCTGCTCCGCGAGATAGTGCTGTGGAGGAGTTTTGGTGTAGAGCCACATTTTGATTTAAGGATCCGCAGATGACATCTGTCCCCTTTTGAGGCCTAGGCCTTCGAATACCCTGGAGTGCCGGGCCCAAACCCGATATCTCCTGCAAAAAGCCGTAGAAGCCTTTTGCGCCTGCAGCAGGCCTGGTGCGAACTCCAAGAGGCTTTTATAGACTACATCGAGCACAAGGACCACCTGCGGAAGCCGAGCATCAGGGCGAGGGCCATCGGGCTTTGACTTAGTTCAAGGCTGCTAAAGAGAGCGGAAAGAGGGTGTCTTGCAGTCAGCTTTTATCCGCTTTATGTCCGTCTCTCTGTTGGAGATCCTGCAATCCGGTGCGCCGCATGCTGCAGCTACGATATGCTACGATATGCTGGTGCAGCGAAAGCTTTGGAGGCCCTGTGCTCGCTTTTACGATTCCCTGATTGGAGGATGACAAGCTCGTCACCCCGTTTTCACGCTCGATGAAGGAATTCTTCATCAGATCTTGTGCCCTGCCTCAGAGCCGACCTAAAAGGACTATAATACTCGATGTAACAGTTCGTTGAATGGCCATGTTTGCCACATCTTGTGTTGGCAGTAAGTTCTTTGTAGCGCATGGCTTGCGGGCCTCAGAGGCGCAGCTGCGCACCGGAAATGTAGTATTGTCGCCCACGCTGAATCCACGGTATGTCTGCGTGTTGTCAGCAACCAGAAGCTTCCACTGGGAGCTACACATGGGAACTGCATCACGAGTTAGATGGCTGTCTCATTCAGGGCGGTGCGAAACATGCCCACATGTGCCAACCGAACCCGTGAGAAAGCGACGCAGACACAAGCACGAACAACAACACAACGCACACCAACAACAAGCCAACCAACACACATGCATATAATATACACACAAACACCAACAAGCGAGCGAGCGTGTCGCAACCAAGCAAAAACACAAACAGACAACCAAACAAACTAACACACGGACTCACTTATGGAGTCACCCAAAGAAGGCACGGAGGCAGATGCAAACAGTCACAGCCAGACACGGATAGACGATACGAGAAATAGGAAGTGCAAGAAGCTTGCCTCTTCGAAGGGTGCTCAAGGTATCCTAGAGTAAGAACTGTCGGAAGGTCTGGAGAAGTGCAGCCTTGACGAGCCGAACAGCCATGCTAGCACCATCCGTGAGCTCATGGCAGAAGTCGAGGCGAATCTAGGCTCGCACCGCTGAGACAGGCCTTCACATCATGGTTGTCTTGATGCGAGTCTCTCATGTTGTGCAGCTGGCAGTGACTTTTCGGGCTCCGGGATGTGGGCATGTCCCGAAGTAGCCTTCGGCTTTGCTTTTCTAGTTCATCTTTGTGCACTAGAGCATCAGGCTGAAAGAGTTCAGAAGTGTCCTGGGTTGAACAAGAGCCGAGGAATTACATGCTCTCGATGAAGCTGTCCCTTGACATGTGCTGAGAGACTGCTTTAGACCACCTCTTTCTGCATTTTGTTGGGTATCCCGTGACATTTCCATGGTTTAGAGCATCCATAGGAGTTAGGAGTCTGCAGGTTGATTTTCTCCATTCTGTCGCAAGCGCCCAGTAAGCCCTGCTTGAGGCATGACCGAGCGAAATCTTGCTAAAGGTGACTCAAGCCTCATGAACAAAACCGGATGGTCCAAGGTTCAACGTCAAGGTAGAGCTGATACCGCTCATGAGCACCAAGGACTTCATGGGGTCAGAGCCTGCAGTCCTAAATTCTCCGAGATTTTTTTGATGGAGTGCGGGTATCGGATTGACAGAGAGGTTGGACCTTGCAGGGTTTTCAGTTTCGACATGAAGACGAGGGGCCACTCTTGCAAGCAGCAATGCTTTACGAGTGAGTGCGGGGCTCATGGGACCATAGGCACCGACAGTCTCAGTCTCAGTCACGGCCATGGGCAAGCGACTAGTTTACTACATGGTTTCGCCTTGTTCTCATGGTGCTCCGGATATGGATTGAGCCCATGAGGAAGCTTACCTTCCTGACGAGTCGAACACCTTCTCTTTGAAGTTTGCGCCCGTGATGCAGAGTTTCCCGCCGGCAGACCTTCCTGGCTTCCTGGGCCGCCCCGAAGCCCTGCTGCGAAGTACACTGGCACTTCGCGATGAACACTTACCCAAGCCCCAGGCTCCCAACCGACGAGTAAGCCAGACCCCATGATGCCGAATTGAGGCTTCCTGCCATCGCCGTGTCCAGAATCTGGTCTTGTGGAGCATGCGAGACCAGAGGCGAGTTGGCACGAAAGCTGTGAGTTCTGGGCTCTGTGGCCAAAGATCCCCTGTGCTCTCGATGGCTTTTCGTCCCTTGCGATCAGCCATCCACTTCAACAGTTGCTTGTGTGAATAATCATGTAGACTTGCCTGCACAAAGACCGCTCAGTCAGTGATTGTCTGCAGAGTGGCATTTGCTGCGTGTTATGCATTTTTTGGAACACGACCAACCCTAACAGTCCGAGCATCCCTCCTGGACTTCAGATGCGCGTGCAGCAGCTCGTGGCAGAGATGCGGCAGATGCCTCTCCTGGGCAGCAGCATCTTCGCCATCACCTGCCAGGTTGGAGCTTTCTTCTGTGCATGAAGAAAGAGTTCAGTTCACCCTCCAAGCGACTGGAAGTCTTTGTGAGCAGGACGTCCGTATATTGCACATGTACATCGCGCTTCATGAAATTCAGTCTGCCAGGCTTGAGGTACAGCAATCTGATCCTGTCCGCGAGGTGTGGCGCCGATACATCAATGAGGTTGCTAGTCTCTTTGCTGCATTGTAAAGTGATGTCGATTCCTGACCGCGTGCGGCTCGACTTTGGGCATCATTGTCACCCCCGAAACAAACGCGGTCTCAGTCTGCAAGTCATCAGGCAGGAAGTGTATAGCAGGCCAAGCAACCCCTGACGTGACATCGAGGAATGGAGCTGGTAGACACTACACGCGTAGGGGGCGTGGATGTGACCCGACAAAGAAAGCTCATCAAGAAAGCCGATTCGATCATCTTCGAGCCGCAGGACAGCCACACTTAGCCGCCGTGGACATTGTCAGTTCTATAAGTGCTAAGTGGTATGGAGCCTTGCTGTTTCCAGAGTGTAGTGTGGAGTGCTTATCGTCACGTGAGCTGCGCGGACGTGAGGTTGCGATCGAACAGACATCGAAGACACCTGTTGAAGCCGTTGCCCCGGCAAAGCAAGCCCGAGTCCTCGAGCCTCGCTGGAAGCCATGTTTCAGCAGGGCCCTTCACCAGCGCAAATGTCGACTCCCAAAAGCAAACTCCCGGCCAAGTTGTACTGTCAGCTCCGCAGTCGAGCGCAGGACATGTTCGAGCACCAGAAGAGCCACATCGAAAGAATAACGAACCACCTAAAACGAGGGTGGCGCGACTACATCATTGCAGAGGCACCGTCAACCGACATGAGCCATCCGAGCCATTGTTAGCAAGCGACACGCCCCAAAGCTCTCTTCAAATTCTTGAACTTTCCAAGCAAGCCCGTGTACGCAGAAGTCCAAATCTGTCTGGTGTGGGGCTTTGCTTAATGTTGGGGCACTCTCGGAAAACAGAAAAATCGAAGAGCAGCTGCGCACAGGTCTTGGATAAGTTATCCGACGATTACAACTTCTTCAGCGATGATACAGAGAAGCACATGCAGAGTCCTTTGCATCCTGTCTGCGGAGTGGAGTCAGGGTTCAGGCTCGTGCATTTAGGATTTCAATCATCACGTTCGGGCTGTGTCTGGTGAAGCGAACGGAAGTTTTTTTGCGGCATAGGCATGCTGGCATGTAGATGTGGGAGAACGCGTGTCCCGATGAGCAGCCAAGGCATGCATTGCTCCGAAAACTAGATGCTTGGCTGAGCCAATGAAGATCGTTGGCTGCTTGTGGCTTTGGGAAGACTGTCGCTGCAGTTTTCCAACACACATCACGCCTTGAAGCAAGCTCATCTTTCTGCATTGTGTCACAGATGGACATGTGTCGCGACTGGTGGTATTCTTTGAGCCTCTGGAAGCTTAGTTTCCTGCAGGAGTCCTGAGTTCAGAAGCTTCGTGGAGTTTCTGTGTGTGTAAGTACGTGTATGGGGGGTCGGGGAGCTGATTCATTTGGTGCAAGGATCTCATCATCAACTCGCAGCTTCGCTGGCCGCGTGCATGCACAGCTAATATGAGGGCTGCGATCTCGACACAGTGCACTTGAAAGTGCTTTCGGGTAGTGATCATGCATGAGCATTCGAGGTTGAATGTGGTTGCTGCAGAGCACAGAATACGGCTGCATCCATGAGACAGCTGCGCCACCAATCATGCTCTGCAGATCTAGCACTATGTGATGGAACAGCACGTTGAACTAGTCATTTGGGGCGGGCAGAGCAGCAAGTTTAGTCGGACGAAAGAGCTACTCGTACGGAGCTCTCGTTCTGGATCCTTACATGACCAAAGCTTGCAGGGTTTGGCTTTCAGGGTTCGGCCTTTCAGTTTAACGACGGTTGACCCAAACTGCCCGTCGGCCCAAGCAGCCAAGTGGACACGCGTCTTTTGTGCTGCCCAGGTTTGTCCAGAATTCAATGGAGAGTTGGTGCAACTTTCTGCCTTTCGGCACGTTTCAGTATACTATATATGCAGCTATTGGCCCACCTACCGTGTATCAACCCGGCTGTTAAGGATAGTCAAAAGGGCTTTGTACCGACCCCAAGACAGGAGGCTGCGACTTCTCAAATCGTGCGAAGTGTTTGCCTGGGTGACAATCCTGAAACTCTTCCACTTTTGGGTTTGGGGGTTTTGGGATGGGAGTGATTCAAGCTCTCTGAAAAGGCTGCGAGCTCGTCACGCACTCCCCTTTTGAGCTTGGGGTGCCCCACTTTGGCGAGGAAAGAGCCGCAAATCAACAGCTACTCCTCATCCCCTCTTCCGGGATGACTGTCACAAGGAACACCTTCGTACCGGATCCAAAGACGAAGCGGCCCGCGCCATTGATCTATCTTGACCTCGAGGTGGCTCGTTTGCAGGTAGTCTTCAGCATGTCAGGGTCCGGGTGTCTTCGAGTGGGCATGAAGGGGCTTCCGGACTGCGGTTGTAGAGTTGTTGCTTTTCTGCTTGTGAGGATCCGCTGTCGAGTCTGGGGCGCTTGCGTGATGCTCAAGCTGTTGAACCTATGAGGCTGACAATGACGAAATCTACCTCGAGCCAGAACCACAGGAAGCAACATGGGCACTACCGCCTGCATGCGGGGCAGGGGCATGGCACATGTTTCGCTGGTTTCTTTTGGTTGTCTAGTCCTCGGCCAAGCTCTCGTGGCCTTGCGGTGTGTGCAGAACAGCTAACTCGTCCTCGTTGTGCAGCACAACCCCCATGAGGGGTCTTGATGTGCATCATCGCAGGACTTCCTCAACGAATTCGAGAGCATGCTCCGAGATGCCACCAAGAGTATTAGCATCGCCAGGGGCCCCGGGGCTCCGGCGCTTCCCCTTCCTTTGGTTAGTAGGGAATGGAAGAATGGTAGTAATAGTAGTTATAATTGTACCCCATTCCTCCATTCCCCACTAACCAAAGGCAAGAGAAGCCCTGCTTCGTGTACTCAGCCATGCAGGAGGCAACAAAAAGGCAAGAGAAGACAGGTTGCTGAGCCTCGATTGTGGCCCAGGTGAAAACCATGGAAGCCGAGCTCATGCCATTCACGAACGTCCAGCCCTTAAACTTTGCGTTTACGGTCTCGTTGCTGCCAGAAGTGCTGCCAGAAGTGTGAAATGGTACCTTCAGGTGACTTACCTGTGAAAGGGGAGGGCTTCTGCGAGCTTGTTGCAGTCTGTGCATTGAAGTCGAGAGTGGACGATATACCGAGACTTGACACCCGATCTCGTGCTGCAGCAACCGGTACCCGCTACGCTACAGTAGCTTGGGAACCTTGGCGTCGCGATCTGGTCTGCATAGTACGATCAGGCCCAGTCGGGCCTTCGGCGACGAATGTCAGCCTAGGTCAACTCACCGCCCCTACACTCTTTTCTAGTTGCATCCAGACGTCCGCAGAACGCAATGCATGTATGCAAATGCGACACATTACGCAGTAAGACCTCGCGGCCGAGTTCGGGAGGCGTGCGAGAAATTAGATACTGTCAACCCCTGAAGCAATCCGAGATTGAAGAGAAAGTCTTGTACACCCCGGAGTGCAGCTGGGCGCTCAGACCAGGGACACGGGACTAAGAGTGACTAAGAGCTATTGGACTAGCCTTCTGTGCAAGATAGCACTGAGATTCGCCTGCCGTCGGGCCATCGATAGGATCGCGGGATGAGCTGTTGGCACGATTGATTCCAGAATGCGTGCAGTGGTTGACTTTTGAAGAACTCAATGTTGCACCTTGCAAATCTACACGACATGAGCCACAGCGTGTAGACAGCAGAGCTCACGCACAGAAGGCCCTGATGGCGACGATGTCGAGTACCAACCGCCGGGAACGTCAGACCTCGTTAGTTCCTCGCGCCGGCATATTTCCGGGAAATGGCACCAACTGTAGCATTTCGGCTCATGGACCTATAGGCCACCATAGGCACTAATGTGAAAGCATCAATCATAAGTTGGGTAAGGTTTCCAGCCAAAGCGCTGCAAGTGCCTGCAAGAACAGACCTTGCTAACTCCTAATTGATTCTTTCATCCCGAGCTTGCTGGATTTACCAAACAGGAGTTAGGCCAGACTGCCATGAAAGCGCAGCTTGCCCAAAGATGCGCGGACAGATGGTAGTGCTAGTGGCGGGCCTGCCACTTCTTATCCGAAGCTGCGCTCAATACATACTTCTTGCCCTTGCCGCGTTCAAGGGACGACGGCAGTCCGAACCTTGCACGCCTAACACAAGCGCCATGCATCCTGCCACGTTGGGAAGGAAGTAAGTCGCAGTTTCTGGAAGTCTTGTCGTGGTCCTGTCTTTAACGCTCCGCGTCCAACACTTCTGGATGCAAGCCTCTGCGTGCTATCCGGGAAACGGGTTCTGAACACTACAAGAGCTGAGCTAGCTTATTTCAGGCTTGCCTCCAAGTCCATGTGCGATGAACCTGCCGCCCTAATCCCATGAAGCTCCGCCACAGCACTGTCTCGCGCCAGGCGGCCAGGCATGGCCGCAGGCGTTGACTTCCGCAGCAACTTCCAGAAGCGCTTCGTGCCTTGGCCAGTGAGGCGATGCCGTCGCCCGAAACTAGGGTCCGGAAGCATGCTTCAGCAGACAGGACATCAGCTGCAGTTGAGCTGCCGACAGCATCGCAGCCTCCGTTGACAGATATCGGCAACAAAACCAAAAACATCAACGAGAATGCTAAGATGAAGCCTGAGATTTGAATTCTTCTGCTAGAGTCAACAAATTTAAATCCCAGGCTGCTCTCCAGGAGAAGCTTGCCCAGGCCAGCGAGCGCAGCGAGCGCTCTGCGGGCGCGAAGGTGCTCTGCATCTACGTTAGGGTTGTACTATGTGGGATATCTTATGGCACTAGGTGTATCAGGAAAACGATAAGGGGTAAACAAATTGAAGGTTCTTTTGGCGGAGCGTGCATCGCCGATCTGGTCAGGTGCCTCGCATGGCAATCCTCCTACTCGCCCGTCCTTGTCTCTAAAACGCAAGCGGGATGTCTGGTGTGATCCCAGACCCGAGCGAGCTGAACCTTTCAATGAAAGGTACAAGATGGCCCCTGCCCCACTCGCGTGTCTCTCTTCAGAACTGCTTCGGCCAGGCTCCGGACCATGGCTCTGGTGAGGCAGCTGGGAGGGTGATGCTTCACCAGTCCCATGTCACGGCGAAGGATTTGCATCAGGGCTTACACAGGCATTGACCGAGCACGGGGGATTCAAATACGTAGAGCAGGAGTCTGCCTGCAAAGAGACCGGAATGGACCACCCAGCCTGCTCTCATGACCGGGGGACCGGGGCAGGCAGCGCTTGGATCCGCAAACGTGGATGACGCCTTGGCTGGACCAGCGACATGCGGAACTGACTTGGATTCAATGGACCAGCTTGAACTAGCCAGCCATCATGAGAAGACGGAGCTGGAACCAGAAATCATCAACAGGCGCACTCGGGCGGTTCCAAGGCAGTGGCAGAAACGGCTCATGCCTTTGTGGCCTTGAGTGCGCAACCCTGTCAGGTCCTGGTGAGGGCTAGTTCTGTCAAATTGGGAATTCGAGACAGTCCCTTTCGTTGCTTTGTTGAGGAAATACGAGAGAAGCTCCTGGCAAAAGCCGTTGCTGCCGGTCGGCTGAGTCTTGTCGGCAAAAGGGTTTTGCATGGCCTGGCAAAGGTGAGACGCGTAAGAGTATACGTTGCCGGTACACGCAAAGTGTGTTTTCGCACTGGTAATTGTCGCCAGGGCACGATACCGACTGCGGGGTCACTCACTCACACACGCACACACGGACTGTCTAACTCTCTCTCTAACTCTTTCTCTCTTTTTGTCTCTCTTCCTCTTTCTCTCCCTCCTCTGACCTCGGCCCAGGCCACCCAGCGCTGCTTCGGAAGCAGGACACGATGGCAGCAACCGGTCCTCGGTAAGGTTTGCTTCGTCCATCCCCCGCCACCCCATCCCCACATACTGGCCCAAGAGCTTCCACTGCACGTAGTTTCAGTTTCAGTGGTCTCCATCGTGAGCGGCGGCTCCACAGGTTGTTTTGAAAGAGAACTCGCGAGACTCCTGGAAACCTGCACACACACACACACACACACATGTTCCAGCTGGTCTTCGTTGTGTAGCCCGTCTGCATCCGGCTGCTCTAGAAAACATGCTGGAATTCGAGTTCGCGGTGCGGGATCGGGTTTCCAAGAGTCACCAAGAGATCGAGCAACCAAAAGCCGAGCAAAAGACTCAGCGTGGCCTGTAGCAATTCTCATTGCAACTGATAA